GTTCTGTTTCTCTGATATTTTGGTGGAATCTCTCAACCCGCTCCTCATTCACGGCACCAAGATTTTCGGGAAAGTAGTCGAGATGTGTAGTTTTATACTCATATTGCATCCCATTCCCCTGAATTTGTCTAACATGTTTTCTGCAATGTTTTTGTAATTTGGACATTTGTTGTTTTCTAGAAAACCTATTATACGCAACCTTTTCAGCTTCGATAGTAGCATTCACTGAGAAAGAGGGAAAATTTCCACATAGGTATGTAAAACCTGCTCCATCTTTATTTAAAGCTTTAATGTAATGCTTCATCAGTCCTAATTTAACAAAGACTATTGTGAAGAACATTTTTCAATCCGAAAGTTAGTTAAATGAACCCTTTTTCATCCAATTTTGCTATCTACTTCTAGCGTCCCACTAACACCAAAAATAAATGTACTTCGTGCTTCCTGATTGCTGAGCTAGTAGAAGCACCAATTTTTATGTCTCCATAAATCATCGAACTATAGGTCCTGGTATTTGATTTTTTCAAGCAGTACGTTCCAGATTTTCTTTCATTTGCATTGAATTAGCATCAGGTACAAAATTGTAGTCTGTATCAAATATCTTTATTGTATTAGGAATATTGATACAATAAACAAGTAAACTATTTTATTCAAAACAGTCTATAAAAAAGTTTTTATTTCGAAAAGTAGATGCTAAAATTTTGGAAATATCCTTAGGTAAACCTAAGTCATTAAGTTCTGAATGTGAAAATAACTATCGTTGCTGAGAAACACTCCATATATCACCAATATCTTTAAGGTTATTTTCATCCATTTCAGGTTCAATTCAAAAATGTTGAGTTATAGAAACAAAAAGACATTGTTTTTCTATTTTCTTAACTCCAAATGATAGAGAAAAACCTAGTAAAATGGCAAGATAAATTTCAAAAGCTTACCCGCTCCAGCCGCACGGACAGGTTGTATCTTATAGCGTGCATAACATTTCAACATTAAATACTATGAAGCAAAAATATCGAATAAACTGCAATTGGCATCTTACCCTTTACCATGAGTAATATGGCATTATTCATTGTGCAACACAAGGAATAAAAAAAATAAAATTGGAAAAATATGCATTCTTTAGGTGCAACATATAGAAACATCAAGTAACACAACCAGTTAGCAAATAACATATCTTCAAAGCTCTAAGTAGGTTTTTACTAGTTGATTTAATGGGACACAATCTGCTCAATATACGTCTGACATTTTAGGTACTGTAACCAATCGCATTGCGGACCTTTTTTCTCATTGTGTATTGTGCACAAAATTCATGGATTCCAATTCGCTTTCTAATGATCTGGTTTGAGTGGCCCCTGTATTGCCTTTGTTCTTCGGAACAACTTGTTTCTTTTTTTTTTATTCTTGTCTTTTCTTTTTTCATTTTATCGGCCTCTTTTCTTTCTTTTTCTTGTTTGCATCTTAAGTTTTGCAGTTTGAATTTTGTCTTTTATATCTTTTTTATATCGCTTTCCGCAATAACTTCTGAGGAAGTAATCAATTCAGCATGCTGCTTACTTTTCTTGGCCCAGGCATCACTGGAATAGCAATCAATCAATGAGAATGAGATTATTAATTTTTTCTTCTAAATTATCGTTATTTTGCAATATCTCAGGATTTGGCTGAATAAAAGCATGATGTAAAATTTTGGCTGCAATAAATGGCTCAAAACTACAGGCTCTAAAACCCGAAACACCGTTTTAAACTGTAACTGCTTTTCCCCACGCCATATTTAAGAGAGTCTATTTAATTTGCGACCTGAAATATTATGTCCAGGTATTACATGCAAAAAGTCTTTAAGGGCTTAAAAAATGATCGATTACGTGAGTACAATCATAGGGTCCTATGACTTGGTAAAGAAAAGAAGTATTACATCATTGCAAGATTCTAGATCGTACTAACTAATTCTACATCCGAACAGTAGGACGAGTGGTCATCTAGAATGAGAAGGACTTTACATCGCTCTTTTCTTGCAATAAAGTGTTCTCGTAGCCACCTTTTTAGAAATACCTGATGTTACATAGACTAACGTTCATCGTAAAATTCTTGTCTTTTCTCTTTGCATGAAAAAATAAAAACGAGAGGAGCCATGCATGCGTAAATACGCATGATATTGTCTCCTCATCTTTCGGTTGTAACTTAATTAGAGTGTCTGTACTTTTAGTAGCGACTTTTCCTGGGTTATTGTTAAGTTGCAGCCCTGACTTATCGAAAATGAGATGAAAATATGTTCCGCGTTCTTCTTTATTTATCCGTTGTGCTCGGGCTAATCATAGCCAAGTTGCTTCTGGTCAACATTGAAACACAGTTAGAAGTTTCATGAACTGAACTGAAACAACTATTGCGCCCTTATTTCCCTTGGCTACGTTAAAAAATGGCAAGTTGCTTAAATTTATATGACGAAATTCATTAAAACACTTGATAATTGATTTCTAAACGTATTAATAAACGGTTGCTGCTTTACATGATTCATTAAAATGAAGACTGTTGCCAAATATAGCTGCTAGAGATATAGATGCCCTAGCTATGGACTCCGGCGTTTTACCCAGCGCGGGATATTTCCCTACTTTTATTTATTTTTTTATTTTTTCAATTTAAATTTATAATTAGTATTATTACCCAAATCAATAACAGAATAACTTATTTTATTCTATATCTTCGTAATTCAGGTCACAAATTTCAAATTCATATTGTACAAAATAGATATTAACATAATATATTTATTATTTTGAAATTTCATTCGTAGTCCTTATATACTTCTTATTTTAAACAATATATCACCAATATTACAGATATGAATTAATATTATATAGGTTGTCAAAACAACAATAATAATGTTGGAAATTTATGATAGCAATTAATTTTTGAAAAAATACCCAGATTTTTTTTAATTTTGAGTTTTGACATTATTTAATTTGTTTATCAGATTCTCAGCGAGGAGATTATTAGGAGTCAAAATGGACTAAATAAAAGTGTTTACTCTACTCCCTTCTCTAGAGTGCGCTCCGCTCGTGCCAAATAAACTTCGGGACTAAAATGCTGTTTACCACATTTGTTGCATAATATACCATTAGTTCATTGGTTCATTTGGTTTCGACATTTTCACAATTCTCAATTTAAAAATGTTTTAAAGAATCTTGAACATTAAATCTAATGGAATCTGATGTCTAATGAGATGCAAATTTCTGGCAAATATAATTTTGACATCCGGCATACTAGGTATCTGATTTTAATAGTCCCATCAATATATTAACAAATTCACTCATATAATACAGGTAATCGGTATATTATACGATAAGATTCAATAAAAACGTTGCCAATGCAATAATAATAAATCTTAATAAATATTTTTTTCAAAATTTATGCGATTTTCGAAGCGAATTGGTTTTATTTTCTTTTCGCCGATCACTGTTATTATTATATAGCCAATAAATTAATGTCGGATAAGGATTGTGTCGGTACCGCGTCACTGCAAATAATTTGAATTGACGGATTAAAACGTCATAGAGATCTAGTTTAAGGTCTAGATAATAAATCCGTCTTATATGTACATATTTATCGATTATATTTTGATCTACTAACGGAGCGGAATATTACAGGATTTTTTTTTTCACTTCACCTTATTACACCCTTGACTACTCCTTACCGTTCAAGCAAAAGGAGGTCAATTTTCTAACTAATAGTTAGTTTTAACATAATTTAAACTTTAGTCTAAGAAATAATGTCTCCCAAGAAATTAATTAAACCAATTAATTGGTAGGCACTTTTGTAATTTTTCAATTTCTTAGTTCAAAGTTTTGATAAAAAGTGCACAAGGTACACAAAATGAATTGATCGATCTCTCAACGAGCTGAAATAAAAATATGTTATGTGTGAATTGCTCTGAAAGCAATGGCAAAAATGATTGGGCCAATGCTCGACAATAAGCCAAAATCTTGACAAAATTACAAAAGTGCCTACCAATTAATTGGTTTAATTAATTAATTTGGAGACATGGTCACGTTACACAATATATTAATATATCCATGGTCCACTTAATACAGTTATATGGTACTAAAAGTATTTTTAAAAAATCATTAGAGACGGTCCTGTGGAATTCGATAATTTCATCTTCTTTCAGCCACTGTGACGCCGTTTATGAGCCCTATCTCCGAAAGGCTGCCTCAGAACGGATAAAAAAAATTCAGAGATACTGTTTAAGACTCACTTTTGGGAATAAATGCGGCAGCCCTGTTAGTCATAAACTGAATAAAGTCCGATGGCTTAATAGAAAAACCGACGAGACCCCTATGAGTGAAATATTTATCATAAAATTATAAGATCGAAATGTCCATACCACATTTTCCATAAAATCCGTTTTTGCATGGACATCCACAATTTAAATTTAATATTTAAAGGCCTGCTTACACCACGGTTTCTTATATTACTAAACAATACCTTTTCTGTACACCGGAAACTATTCATAAATGTATGCCCTCTATTTGTTTTTTGTTTTGTTTTAATGTGTATCTTTCCTGCCGACCGATGTCATCTTTTTTTTGAACAGGCACTCAAAATATTTTACTTTTTTTATTTTGTCCATCTGAACAACCTCCTTTTCATTGTATGTTACATAAGTGAATACAGTTATTATTATCATTATTAATACATTTTATATTGTACATTCATTCTATTAATGTTATAATTTTGTATATTTTTAATTGAAATTGAAGCAAAGGAATTAGTGAATTATTTATTTGTTAAATATTTTATTTATTATTTAAACCATTTTGGAGTTCTCAAAACCGCCAAACTTCAATTTTTTTGCCTCAATAAAATTTGCAAAATATGAATACGAACTTTTAGTCTTGACGAAGACTAACCAAAACTAATAAGAAAATATTTACTTTTGACAAAACATCGCAAGTTCTTAGGGAATGTATTTTCTTACAGGGTATACATTTTTGGACAATTTTGGAAAGCAGGTTCTACTGATTCGCTAGTTCCAAATCGTTCCCATATTTCGAAAAACAGTCTATTAGCGTGCGAACCATCTGACATTTTTCATTCTGTTTGGTCGCGACTTCCTTTTCACATTTGGTAGCAACCTCGTTTAATTTCTTCACTTTGCCCATGTCGCCTTTGAGAACCGGCGTGAAAGTGAGCACCATCCCGTTTTTATTGAATTTCCCGTCTCGGAAAATTTTCAGTTTGGAAAATATGCATTCCACCATGCAAAGACCTGAAAGTATACCGTCACAGTCGGTTCTTTGTTTTTCGTTCTAGACTATACCTTCCGGTGTGTCCGGAATTCGTCTCTGTTTGATGGCTTCGAAATCCTCCTGACTAGCTCCGGTCTTGGTCTGACAGTCTTTGAAAAATACTTCTAATTTTTCGGTTTTGTTGTAGGCGCAGTCGCTGAAGGTTGCTATCGCGGCGCCTAAAAATTTCCGTTAACCCTATAGATGAGAAATTGCAAAAAAAAAATTGTTGTAAGGTATGGATCAATAACATTTCGGGCAGATGAAAATAAATAATCCCAAGTTATAAAAAAAATTGTCTTGTGTAAGAAAGTAAGATCTGGTATTATAAGTGTCAAATTAAGGTATATACAGATATGTTACCATGAAAGTCCCAGAACCGGTAATTATCATCAAATATCATTATTTCTGTTATGATTATGATGTTCAAAAGATTTGTGTATAAAAAGAAAACAAAACAAAACTCTATAGGACATATATGGACATAAAAAACTTGCTGAACTTAAAACAAACACAACAAACATATATAATATTAACATAAAAATAAAATTTATTTTACTTTTTAAACTAAAATTTAAAACAATGAAGTAAATATCATCCTTATTTATTACGACAACTGAAGCTACCATGACACATTGAATTACACAAAAGTCTCTTGTTTTTACAGCTACATTTAGATTTCCTTTTGCAGTTACAGCGTGTACAGCCTTGGCCTCCACTTTTTGAAGCTGCTTCTCTTACCGATATTTCTTGAGCTGAAATTTCATCAGTGGAAATTAACTTCTCTGTGCAAATTTCAAATTAATGACTGGTGAAAAGTCTGAATATTCTATTCCAACAACAATCTCTAACAAATATCGGGGATCTGTATACATTCACGGTCGACTTCAACTTCTTGAATTCTTACAGTATTTTTTAAGTTCACAACATTTTTGTTGCTTGGAGTATCAGATTCTTTTTTGCAGCTACTCTTTTTGAATTAATAAGTTCGTGCTACCTAGGCAGCACTTGAAATGAAGGCGTAATTGGTTGTAGATCAGTGAATGATCTACAGTAGGTATTTCAGATGAGGACGTGCTAGGTTGTAGATTAGTCAACACTTGATTCGGGGTTGCGAATTCCTTAATGCATGATGTAAAGGTGGATCGGTTTCAATGGTATTTTGGTCATCCACATCACTGGTCATCGATATGGTCATTAATTAAATTTCCCTCACAAGTATTAAGGAAAGTTTATAGTTGTTCTTCAATATTTGTAATTTGTTCGTTGGCGAGAGATAACGATGCTACGTCTGGGTTTAACGCCAAACAATGAACATATGAACTCTGACGTATTCTGGTCATTTTGGTCATTTATTTGAGTCATTATCAGGCATTCACGCATTTAATACATTCTATATCTCGTGTTTGGCTCTTTCGACTGAGCCTTGTGTATGGTTGTGACGAGGCTTTCCGTATACAATTTTAACATCTTTCCACATGCCGAATAGTTTAGATATGACTTGGTTACCGAACTATCCACTATTATGCGAATGGGGACCTTGGTAAAGCATTTTGTACTTGCCATCGCTGTGTGATTGCAAGTCTATCAAATTGACTCGACATCTAGAGTTTAATTCGAAACTCACCATTGGTTTTACAACAATAATACCGTTGCAAGGCGCACTGTGTTTCATTTGACATTGTTTACACAAATTTTAATAGAGCATTACTACTTGAAGTCATAAGTAGTATTTTTGTACTTAACTTAAATAACTAAATAAATATTATTATGTTTATCATAATAGTTCAAGCTTGTTGTCAAGTAGTTAACCACGTTGACAAATAGTTCATCAAATGACAAACAAAAAAGTCAGCAAGAACATCTAAACAAAATTATAATAAATTAGAATGCACCTATGGAGACTCTTCAGAAAATTGATAGTTAAATACCAAAAAAAAAAGTGCAAATCTTTAAAGTTATGTTAAAAACCTCTTTATTAGAAAAAAAAACTTTCTGTTGTTGTTGGACGATTATTGTAGTAGGTTAGTTATAAGAATGACTTCTCCTATACAATTTATTATTGTCGATGGAAATAAACGAACCGTGTCCGATTTTTTTAAATATTTAATTTTTTTTTTTAATTTTAATTTTAATTTTAATTTTGCCGCATATGTCCTGTACCTATCCTTAATAAGTTTCGATAAGTTTCAGTTTACTCAAATCGCTAATTTGATGTTTGCATTAAAACGATTGAGCGATCTAAACTTTTAATTTATATTACACCGTAATACATACTGGGGCAGTTGTGGGTGGACTGAGTAGCTCACAATTGTCACTGCCGGTCCCAAGCCCGGATAAAGGAGGAGGGTTGAGCGTGAGGCTAGCAACCTCACCTCGGAAAAAGACCTTGCTACGAAAACGGACGATAAGCCTCGGAATAGATTGGATAAAAGGAAACGACAATGGCTAAGAAAACAGGATATGAATATAGGAACATGGAATATCCTCAGCTGGTACCGCCCTGGGGCATCAACCCATGCTATCAAGACACTAGAATCACGGGGACTAGATATTACAGCGGTTCAGGAGGTTAGATGGACTGGAAACGGAAACGTTAAAATCAGCAAATCAGTGGTTTTCTACATTGGCAATGAACAGGATAGACATGAATATGGAACGGGATTCGTTGTAAAGGAACAATTGGTGCAGTCCATTATAGATTTTTGCCCAATCAATGAGCGACTCTGTTGGATCAGGCTAAAAGGCCGCTGGTATAATTACACCTTGATATCGGTACATGCCCCGACAGAAGAGAAGGATGAAGAGACAAAAGATACGTTTTATGAACAGCTGGCAAATATTGTGGATAAAGTACCAAGACATGACATGCTGATGATCCTAGGAGACCTTAACGCTAAAATCGGTAGGGAAAATGCATTTAAGCCGACCATTGGATGCCATAGCCTCCATGATGAAAGCAACGACAACGGACTAAGGCTAATAGACTTCGCCACAACATATAACCTCCTTATCAAGTCAACCTACTTTGAACATAAAAACATACACAAACAGACATGGATATCTAATGATGGTAGAACACGAAACCAAATAGACCATGTACTAATAGACTCCAGACACAGTAGTAATTGCTTAGATGTTAAAAGTCTTCGTGGGGCGGATGCAGATACAGACCATATACTGGTGAGTTCTAAGATTAGAGCTAGAATATCTAGTAGCAAGAGCACAAAGGGTAACCCAACAAAAACATGGAACGTAGAAATTTTAAAAGAAGAAGAGACAAGAACAAGATACAGAGAGACGATAACCAACCAAATTAATCAAATCGCTATTGAGGAGGACACTAACATATTTTGGAATAAACTGAAAGAAACGGTGAATAATGCAAATGAGAACGTCTTAGGCCTGCGGCCCAAACAGAAAAGGAAACAATGGTTTGACGAAGAGTGTAAGAGGGCGATCGAGAACAGGAAAATGTCCAGACAAATAATGCTGCAAAATAACACAGAAGAAGACATAAACGAATATAAGCGAACGAGATCAATAGCAAGAAGGCTTATGAAGAAGAAAAAAAAAGAACTCCAAATACAAAAGGTGAAGGAAATTGAGGAAAACAGACGCAACAACAACGCTAGGACCTACTTCAAAGGAATATTAGATTTTAAAAAAGGCTACCAACCAAGAACCACAAACTCTCTAAAGCATCAAGATGGCCAACTCATAACTAATAAAGCAGAAATCCTAAACACATGGAGAGAATACTTCCATGAACTGCTCAACACCGAAAGCATAGAAAACACAGAAACTAAAATATTCCAGACAGCCGAAGTCACAGACAATACTCCTAACTATGATGAAGTCAAACAAGCGATTTACAGACTCAAAAACAATAAGGCGCCAGGAAGCGACATGATCCCAAGCGAATGTTGGAAGCAGGGGGGAGAAACACTGCACTCGGCTATGCACAAACTCATCGAGATAATATGGCGAACAGAAGTAATACCAAACGAATGGCAAGAAGGGGTAATTGTACCGATACACAAAAAAGGGGACAAAATGATATGTGGTAACTACCGCGGAATAGCTTTGCTGAACACCGCATATAAAATTTTAGCCAACATACTCCTCGACAGACTTAAGCCATACGCCAACGAAATAGTGGGCGAATATCAGTGTGGATTCAGAAAAGACCGGTCAACTATAGATCAGGTGTTCACCATTAAGCAAATAATGGAGAAGTGCTGGGAATTTAATAAAGAATTACATCAACTGTTTGTGGACTTCAAACAAGCTTACGATAACGTTTGCAGGGTAAAACTTTGGGAAGCTATGGAGGAACTCGGTTTCCCCAAAAAACTGATACGCCTAACACAAATTTGTATCAATGGAGCGAAGAACAAGGTCAGGATCGGGCAAGAACTCTCAGATATTTTTGAAGTCAACAACGGCCTCAAGCAGGGCGATGCCATTTCACCTTTGCTATTCAACATCTCCTTAGAATACGTGGTTAGAAAAGCGGAGATAAAGGCTCCAATGACAATGTTTCGCAATAATGGCCCAAAGCTACTGCTAGCATTTGCAGACGATGTAGATATGATTGGTAGTAGTAGACTTAACGTCAAGGAGACCTTCACCAACTTCGCGAAACAGGCACTAAATATGGGATTGAAGATCAACGAAGGGAAAACTAAATATATGTACACAACTAGAAACAACCAAAGGAGAGATAGAGTAGGACAAAACATCACAATGGGTGACTATAACTTTGAGCGGGTGAAAAAGTTCAAATATCTAGGAACAACACTCTCAGAAAACGCTGATGGGTCAGAAGAGATAAATTGTAGAATACAAGCTGGTAATAGATCTTTATCAGCGATACATGACCTTCTTAAATCAAAAAATCTCACACGCACGACTAAACTATCCATATATAAAACCATAATAAGACCCGTAATAATGTATGGATGCGAGACTTGGACACTTACAGTGGCCAACGAAGAGCGGATCAGGGTTTTTGAACGGAGAGTACTGAGAAAAATCTATGGGCCGGTCACTGATATAACAACCGGTAGATATCGTATACGCAAGAACAGGGAGCTATATGAACTATACAAAGACCCCAATATCATCAACGAAATAAAAGCGAGAAGGCTACAATGGGCCGGACATGTGAAAAGACTTCCAGACAACCGAATAGCCAAGCTAGCATGGGAAGAGGCACCCGAAGGAAAAAGACCACTAGGTCGGCCTCGCCTTCGCTGGAGGGATAACATCGAGAAGGACCTAAAAATAATGGAAGTCGATAACGCACTAGACCTAATGAACGACAGACAACAATGGAGGCGCATCGTCAAGTCGGCTAAGACCCACCCCGGGTTGTGAGCCACGGGGAGGAGGAGTAATACATTTTTAAATATACCTATCCCTTATAGGGCAGAAATGAAAATAAAACTATAGATCCTAATTTTTTTATGATATTATCGGGTCGCAACTACTTACATTTCCCAGATGGTCCTGGTAAATATATATAGGGCACCTATTTGAATATTTATTAAAACAAAACATAAATTAAAGTTTAGCATTCTGTCATTTCAGTGCGCCATTTCAAAATATGACATTTATTGTTTGGAAAATCGAAGTGTTTGGACTATTATAAAAAATAAACTGTATAACTAACGACTAATATGTAGTGAGTGACGTGTGTATCTCGTTACGATGTAGAGGAATCATCCGATCGCTCCAATTCCGATTAATGTCCCTTAAAAGCCACAGTGAATAAGGGATGGATGGAGAGAAAGTTGCGTATACCATTTTCAAAAACCCACTACGCAAAAATCTATGCAAAATTAGTCATTCTAAAATGCAAATAAAACTAATATCTAATATAAGGTTAAATAAAATGGACAGTGGGGATAACGGCGGGGAAAACGCTTTTAGTTTTATAGAATCCCTACAAACAAAAATACAATTTAAAGTTTGCATTAATAACAAAAATTAAAAATATAAAATTATTTCACCTTGAATTTAAAGAAGAATTTGTAGGTCGTAGTATAGTATAAATCGCTCAAAATACATATAAATTTAATTCTCAGCAAATGAGTAGGTTTGAAAAACTTAGGCAAACTAAATCGTTGTGTGTGAAGCACCACTTAAACAAAATTCGACTTTCGAAACACACAAAAATTAATCAACTTTAGCTGCCCTGGGATAATTACAAATAATAACATAACTGTGGAAACTCTGATTCGAAGTTTCAACGTAAGTTGTAAGTTGTAAAAAATGAAATAGAAGCGAGTTCAAAAATATACTTAATGCATTATTTTCTGTGCAATAAAGGATTTGTCAACATTAAAATCGAACAGCAGAACCTTTATCAGCAATATTTATCATTCTACAGCTTAACGGGTTAATCCGGTAGTGCGTTTTTTGAATCAGTCTCGTATAAATATAAACTGTAAAAATATGTCGATAAATTTTAATCGCATTTTATGGCCACCGAATAATGTACGAAGTCCGAAAAGCAAAGCGGCAATCGTTACCAAAAATTGATCAAAAGTTTACTCAAATGAGTGAGTGAACTTAACCACAAAAGAAAGTGGATCATTTCTTTACAAAAATACTTTTGCATATAATTGGTTGCAGTACAATATTTCAAAAATGATTGAGAAAAATCTAATCAAATTCTAGTACTAAAAATAACTATTAGTTAGCTTTTAGTTGTATACTTACAGAGAATCAGTATACGAAACATGGCTTCCAAATATGTTCGCCAACACTAACATTGACGAAACACTAACATAGACGAAACAGATTTTTAATAATGATAATATCTCGTATATAATTATGTCAATTTCCAAAAATCATAATAACATAATGATCCTTTGTCTGCTTGCTGTATGTGGGTAATGGGTATCATTTTATTGTAACAAAAGAATAAAAGCTTTAATACAGAGCGACAAAAAATGCCAAATTAGTATTATAAAAAAATGTCATTAAAAAGTTTTTCCACTTCCACTTTAAGACGACAGCTTCGGAAAAGCATTGAGAAGATTTTAGCCACGGATAATATTTTGAAGTTTGTCACTTTCATGGTTGATGAAACATTATAACTTTCGGTTACTTAGGTTTTTGACTCTGTCGCCGGATTTGATTTTTTAGATAACACCTTGTATATTGTTTCATTTTCCGCTTTGCTACCCTTTTTTGACCATCTTTGAAATATTTCCATATCTCTACCACATTTCGAGATATTAATTAATTTCTATAACTTTCGGCTGAAATACGGTGACGAATTGTTGCACCCTGTATATGCCTGAATAAAATCTGCATAAAATTTTGTGACATAGAATTCTGGAAAAGGATCAATAAAAATTTCACAAAAAAAAGATGACTTCGAGAGCAAACCAATTTTGAAATTGGGACCAGGTTTTAGAGGGAGATTTTTTGCGGAGCATTTTTGGAATTATGGATAATTACTGAAACCGTTAGCGATTTTTCATATGGAATATTTAAAAACTGTGATTTTGCGTAATAATTTAACCATTAACATTGATGATAACAAAAAATTTTACAGGAATTATGAATAATACCTGAACACTTAGTTGTTATGCATAATTTTTAATCACTAGCTGTCAGAGGTAGAAAGCACAAGAAAGTAGGTACTTACTGTGCAATCTATTTAAAAATGAACAGCTTTTCTTACTAACTTAACTACTACATATTGCAAAACGATTTATTAATTTTAACAAGACAAAGTTTGTTCTTTATTCTGTTATATTGTTTACAAGCACTGTTTCTGCATAACAATTGCACTTTTGAAGTCGTTGTAGCTAAAAGGGTATCATATTCTTCTTTGAACAAAAAATTTGCCTTTGTTCTCCCACTTAGCATTCTTACCTTCTTCAGTACATTTGAATTTAACACCCTCCGCTGCTACCGTTTACTGGCAGGCCAGATGCTTCTTCACCACGCGCGCTACGGCGAAATTGAAATTTTCTACTAAGTAGTAAATATGCAAAAAGATTAAATGTTTCAGGTATTTTGGATAATTGCTGTAAAATTTTTGCATCAATATTAACGGAATTTCCCAAATATTGCCCATAATACCTGATGATTTTTGATATTATGAAAAACTGTGGTGAAACTGCTAGCGATTTTTCATAATAACTAAAAATCATCGGATATTGTGGGCAATAAAAATTTCGACAAATCATATAACTGCTAGTGGAATTTGTATCCTAGTATTACTATTATAATATCTAATATCTATATGCGACAAACCTTCGAATTTCTGGTTTTCATGTCGATTTTTGAAAAACTGCTTGAGTCACAGAAAAATAGACTTTGTCTCGACATAATGAATGATATTTTACTATCGCATTTTTGGTTCAATATCATTATTTTCACTGCTTTGATTTGAGATTGCTGTATAATGATCGGGGTGAAAATATAGCCTTGAAAACCCGTAAAAACCACTAAGTAAACAATTTTAATATTTTATTTTTTGACCTTGGAGTTTACACTTAATGATGTTTTTTAAGTTTGGAGGTACAGATGAAACGCGACATGCGGCGCTCGGCAACAGCGCTCGCGGAGGCGGCAACGTAGCATTCCGTTCTCACGCAATTCCCACACCCCCGCCCGACGCCGCTGCCTTCCGCAAGTTGATTAGCAATTAACACTCGGACTTGGTACCGAAGTTAATAACAGCCGTTTGTAATAAGTGGATTTAAAAGGCTATAGGAGCAAAAGTAGTTCGACCTTTTTAAATAAATATATAGTATAGTTTGGTTGAAACTATATCATTGATGTTCTTCCTTTCAAAACTGCGCTTTATTGAAATAAAATGAGATCCATAATTCTGCCTGTACACAATGTGGTCGTAATTGGAGTGTTTTAACAGGAAACTCCTATTTCTGAACTAGATAGAGCAAAATCGACTTACATGTCAATGGCTCGATTTTCGAGAAAAATTTAATGGTTAAAACCGCAAGACTTTAAAGTTGCACATAATCTTTTTATTTATTAAAATTTTGGATTCGGATGAAAATATTATTTGGGCATTTTTTAAGGCAAATGCAGTGGCGTACACAGATTTTTTCTACAGTTCTTCGTTTTCTTTAAAAAAGACTTCACAAAGAAACCTTTAATGGTATATTATGCAACAAATGTGGTAAACGGCATTCTATCTTTAAATATATATTCCATAATAAAATCATACGTTTCATAATTTTGGTAAAAACTAAAAGCTGTGTGGATAAAATTATGTCGACACAAAATACAATAAAGATTAAAGGTGATGTCCTTAACTGACATTGACAGCTAACACATAAACAAAGAATACGGCTTTTTTCATCAAAGTTACATCTATATGGTTGAAAAGGGCTAGACACGAGCATTTTTTTAAGACAATAGTCAACTATGATTGCCATATACAAAAAGAAAGGTCATTCATTTATGAGAAAGCTGAGAAGTGTAGAAAAAATCTGCCACTGCATTTGCCTTAAAAATTGCATCAAAAATGTTTTTTTCCGAATCCTAAATTGTCATAAGTAGAATAGTTATAAGCATTTTTCGAAACGGCCGAAAATTGAAAAACCCCCCACATATAGTGAAGATATCGTAATGCGGTTCTTATTTCTAGTTCAGAATTAGGTTTTTCCTCTTAAAACACTTCAATTACGACCACCCTGTACATACTAGCGAACGCTTTTCGTCATTATTTTCAACAAAACTAAGGTTTCCGGTTTTAACCGGTTTATCAAAGCATGAAATATTTGTCGGCTACATGGCAAGTGAACAGTAAATCATAGTCAAAACGAATTAAATCGCAATCAATTATAGTATCGTTACTTCTTTGTCAATGACAATACAATACGATAGAAAATTATCTGATTACTCGGATGTCATCAATTAGCAAAAACATGTTGAGAAAACCTCAAAATTATCAAGGATTCAGGAACGGTTCCTCTAAACAGCTGTTAACGGTTAAATTTTTAGCATTAAAAAATCGACTGGAAACCTCATGTCGATGGAACTTCGAAAACACTTGTAAGGAATACTTGGTAGTGAGAAACATGGTCACAGAGAGTACGCTAATGATGGCTTATTACTAATTGTTTCTTTTCTACTGCTTCTGGGGACACTCTCCATGATACCAGGATATTTGTACTCCAATGTACTGCTCTCAGAATAATCTTCATGTACCACTTTGAGCGCATGTTAAGCAAATTTTTATAATTCAAAAAATTATCAAGCCAGCTCTAAATATTTCAATCGCTGTTGTACCTATTCGTTATATTTTTTATAAAAAATTGCCCTGAGAATTAAAAAACAAAATATGCTTCTGCACAAAGAGACTTTTTCGAATTGAATACTAAATAAAAAGACAAAAAACAAACATTTTAGAGATTGATCGCCGTAACCCGTAATGTGGAAAATTTTCCCAAAGTCCAAAGTTCTTTTATTCATATTTTAGGTTAGGATAAAGATGCTGTTTATAGTGGGTTGTTGTGCCCTTATTTGATAATCTATTCCGAAAATGTCTTTTTTTTTAAATTAAATGTGTAATGTGCTTTTCTAAACAATGTTCCATGGTATTCTATTTTAAGGTTAGGACCATAGAGATTCGCGCCTCTCACGCTATATGTCATGTCGTATGATGTTCCCGTCTAAAGAAATAAAGGTTTATTTCGAAGAGTCTAGTGTAATTATTTAAAAGTATGTTAAATACATAACAAAATGTAAAAAACGCTACCTAGTGGCAAGGGAAGCTCAGTCGCAATCCAGTCACTCATAATCGCATAGATGGACAACTCTAAGATTATCACATTTTCGTTTTTGGAGATATGACGATTTATTTAAGAAAATGTTCGAAACAGCTTCACTACCTTCCTTGCAGAGATAGACTAAACGGCATTAAACAAACATAATTTGAATGTGTCTCAGCTTTGAAGTAGTTTTACTGTGGTTAATATTATTAATTCCTAGACAAACTTCAAGATATTCTTAGAGTCGGATCCCATCGCCCACTTAAAAAAGATCAAAATTTCTTAAGAAATACATTAAAACCGAGTTTACAACTTATGCAAAATCCAATAGATATATTGCGTGCATTCAATAAATAGGCAGAGAATATATTGGAGAGGCATGACGAAAAATATCAACTAGGCTAAAAGAGCCTTAAGACTATGACAATTAATCTTAACAGCAGTTGCTGAACACAATCAGTAGAGAATCAATAGTAATACCTAAACAATCAAACAATATTAATCGCAATACAAGTATCAGGTCTCAAGAGTGATACAAGGATGAGTTCTGTCGCCACTACTATTTAATTTATACTCAGAGTCAATCCTTATAGAAGCACTGCAAAATATGACAGTTGGTGTCAATGTTAATGAAACATTGATCAGTAACCTCAGATACTCAGATGATGCTTTGTTAATATCAGAAAATTTGGAAGATCCGCAGGAGCTTTTCGATACCACGAATGAAATTAGTAATCGGTATGGACTGGAAATCAACAACATGAACAATAAACACATACGTCAGTTACAGTCGGCAGAGAAGAAATTGAGAGAGTTAGCAAAATGAAGCACCTTGGTACCTTCGCCACGGAAAAGTGGCGACAAGACTCGACAAGCATTCTTCAAAATTACAAAATGTCTGTTTAACCGTAATTTTTCCATAGAACACAGGGATGCTGAAATTTTATTTATTTTCAATCTTGTTATACCTGCATGGACTGTCCCAGA